ACACACACCGCAACAGAGGGCGCTCCCAGCAAACGAGTCACGCGGGAGGCCAGGCCAGGATGAGCTGGCCCTGTGCCGGGAGGGCTTCTCCGATGCTTTCCCTTTCCCTGCTCCCATCTGGACCATCCCTCGGCAGTCTGCCCCTGCTCCGGCCACCCCGGGGAGCAGAGAAAAAAACCCGCCGGAGCCGGCACCGCGGGAGGGAGGGGATGCACATGGCAGCCCAGCAGGCTCGCAGAGATGCATTTGGTATTACCTGGGGTTTTATGAAACTTTCCTCATTTGGAAACCCAACACTGCAGAAGTGCAACTTTCTGCTTGATTTACCCCATCCCGTTGAGCACTGGCGTCTCACCCCAGTGAGCGGGCGCTTGCCGCCCGCTCCTTGGGCTTTCTCGGAAATGAGCAACCCCGGGCGGAGTCCCCAGCACCTCCAGTGTTTTGTTACGGCTCTTGCCAAGTGTCAAATGTTGCTGTTGTCGTCATGGTGACGACTAGATCTCATTTTGGTTTTAATCAAAGACCTGCGGAAGTTTAGAGCCCGTGCTCCAGTCTCGCAGGGAGCACAGAGTAGCCAGATGCTCACAGTCAAGATGACTGTGTTCTTCGGAAAGAAGGCTGTTCTTTCACAGGGAGGTTTCCCAGAAAGCTGCTCAGCGAGCGGGATGCCCCATCTCGCGCTGGGCTAATGCTGTTGTGACGCTGCCCTCCAAAGCTGATTCAGAGAGTCCGTCAGTAGGGCAAGGCTTGAGTGTAAATCAAAAGTAAATCACATCTGGCCAGCCTGGCGCCTGTTGTTAATGTCTATCACGGTAGAGGTTACAAGAAAGCAGAGTTTCTGCTGCACCCATTTCCCTAAGGAGAAATATTTCCCAAAAAATATCCTTCCCAAATTCAGACTCTCAACACCAGCTCTGGGTTAGGAACAGTGCAGACATCGACTACCCAGACATTGTTCCAGGTGGCACGAACTGCCACCTTCACCTCAGCCACGGCTGGAACCCAGTGGATCACCTACGCAAATCCCTGGGCTTTGATGGATTCAGCAGGCCCTGTCCGCCCAGCTCCAGGCAGGATGCAGGATGTGTCCCGTCCAGCCTGCCGCAGGCAGTTCATCCCTGCCTGCAGCCCCAGGCCTCTGCTCCACCCAGCTCCGTCCCTTCACCTCCTCCTTAGCCACAGTCCTTGCCCAGAGATCCCCTGGGGAGAGGCTTAGCCCTCCCCTTAGCTTGCCCACACAGATACCCTGCTCTCCCGAACCTGGGAGTCTAAAAAGATAAAGACCCATCCACCACCTGGATGCACAAAGGGACTTTCAACGAGGGAAGAAAGCAAGGGAGAGCCAGGGAGAGGAAGAGACACAAAGGCCAGGCAGAGTTTCCCTGGGACTTCTCTGACCTTCTCCTGAGGACACATGCTCTGCAATGCTGCTGAAGTTATTTAAGATGCCGAATAAATGGCCATTGCGAGTAGGTCTTTATGCTCGAGGTCAGAATATGCTCTACAGAACAAAACTTTGCCGTAACTCTACGACCAGTTCAACCCTTTGAGCATTCCCTACCTGAGCGTACTGGTCTGCGGCTTCTCTGTTGAAGCACGTGCCGAGACCAAAGAAATAGGTCCTTCTCAGTTTGCATGCAACCAAACCATCACCAACCAACTCTAAAGAGTTAAATGTTACTTTGCATTACAAGGAAGTGCAGTTTCTTTCTCTTAAGTTTCCAAATCCACTGAGATGGGGTGCTTCAATGGGACATTTTCTTTTGATTTGAAGCTGGCCAAATGCGAGTAATTGTAAACTGGCTGGGGATAAGCCTTGCTCCTGGGGGAGCCACTGACACGTGCCATCTGGAATCTCCATCTACAGCCTCTGCTGCAGGGAAAGGCAAGCGTCAGCCACCCACACCGTGCTGTCAGGGGCCCACGTCCCTCCCCACGTGGGAGACTGGATCTGGGAAGCCT